TAACTAACAGTTAGATGAAATCACAAGTATCCATGGTTTGAGGGTAGATTGGTCGTCACCCCTGGCCGCCTCGGTCACGAGAGTAGGGAAGGGGAAAGAAAACAATTGGTCTGTCGATAGTGCCAAAATCATATTGATTGTTTTTAATATTTCTACAAGGGACTGCCTGAAAATATAATTGTGACTTCAAATTCATGCCTAGGAGGAGTTGAACCTAGACGCTAAAATTATAGAGTCTTTCCCCCCACTAAAGTGAGCTATGTTCTCTGCCCGCAAAAAAACATTGACTCTCACTTCTTAAAACCATCAAGCTCTAGTATTTGTTCCTACATAAAAAAATCACTAGAAAAGTGAGGTAAATAAAAAATACATATATGAAAATAAAAGGCTGAAGTTTTTCTATTTTCTAAAAAATAAACTAGCTAAAGAAAACATGGGGAAAATAGAATAAAATATGGGAAAACTACGAAAGTACTAGTACTTTACGAAACACAAAGAAACCTAGAAAAGAAAATGAGAAAACAACTTTATGTGGAGTTATAGGACAAATTTAGACGGTTTTGACACCCAAAGGAACAATGGTTTTTTGGTATGACTGTTGAGATGTGCTTGGAAGCCCATGTGACAAAGTAGGCCTTCAAGCTTGGAAGCCCATAAGATAGGCCCATACTACCACACTGGTGCTCGGTTGAACGATTTTTCTTCCCTCAAAAAAAAAAAGGTTGAACGATTTTTCTCGAATACGTCGGTTGAACGATTGAATCCCGTTCCCGTCCCGGCGATCGCCGGCGTCCGAGCCTTAGATGTGGCCGACCCGTTGATTGGAGACGGAATGCCTCGCCTGGCAGCGCTATGAAAATGCAACCCGGCCACCGTGCAGGTCAGGTCAGCCTGCCTCTACCTATCTCTGACTCCAAGTATCACCCACCATGAACTCAACCTGTTCGATGAAATGCCTCCTCCTTTTTTTTGCAGGGGGATGAAATGCCTCCTCCTAATCCACGAAAACCATGGCCGCCATTTCGCCAAGTAGGGCTTGCATACCACATCTCCTAATTAATTCCATTATTATGACATGAGACTTTCCCAGCTGGTGAACCCCCAGTCGGTTGGCAGTTTGGCGCATGTGTCAGTACGTAGTCATTTAGTTGATTTCCACCGAATCGGATCTTAACTTCCATTACACGTATTGTTTCAGTTGATGGTTAGTGGAAAACATTTGTCACTTCACCCTGCTTGATTCAGCATTCTAGTACAGGCTGCTCATGGAACATTCTAGCTACAATGGTCGTCCACGGTTTAGAATTGGACCGAAAGAGGACTGCTGGTAGTTTTGCAGTTACCAAGCACATGCTGTGACACCTACTCCCTCCATATTTTAGAGTGTAGATTCACTCATTTTGCTTCGTATATAGTCACTTGTTGAAATGCCTAGAAAGACAAATATTTAGGAACGGAGGGAGTAGTTGATATATGCAAAGGCAACCAACTAGAGGCCCTCAGCATCATAATACCCACTCTCTTGCAGATATTCTTGCATATCAACGGGGAACATGGTGCTACTGTGGATACTGTCATCATTAAACGACGCCGGATAGTCGGTTGCGTATACATGTGAACTGTTGTAATCCTGAGAATACTGCATGCAAGTGCAGGAGGTCATGGCGTCATTTCCGAAGTAGCTCTCTCTTTCAATCTTGACTGAATGTCCTGGCTGTGGCATCCTAGCTTCCCCTTTCTGATAAGCCATAGCCTTGGCCTTAATACTGTCTTCTTCAGGGCTTGACACGGAACAAGTATTTGTGCGCCCTTGTACTGGTTCCTGAGCTTTGAGCGACTCCAATTGTGCTTGCAGATTTACAACCTAGGTGAATTTGCATGCCATCAGTTTTGCTAATATATTATTAATTACTGTCCATGCAATTAGCAGTTCACCAAATGAACATTCAGAAAGTAGCAAAACTCACTAACCTGTTGCTGCAGAGCGAATATGTGCGCGACGCAACCATATACCGGATCATGTAGCCTGGCCTGTGCCTCGTAGGAGATGGTGGCCGCGGCCTCGCGGCGGTCGGTCGCCGGGAGGCTCATGAGGAGCTTTGAGGCATTGCTTGCACCAAAGACCTTATGAATTGCGGCAAAATGGGCAGCCCCTTGCTCATGGCAGAAGTGCGGGGCGAAGACACACCCGTTCACGCACCTCCTCCGAAGGAACTTGCATGCGCCGCATGGAGAGGAAAACCCTGTCATTGCTCCTGGTGCCTGATCGATGCTGGTGGTGTATTCTTGTTCCTTGCAGCTTGTGGAGTGAATCATCGATCCTCCCCATTTATAAAGGCTACTCTAGCACTAGCAGTGGGGTACATGCTGGGGTTAGCTTGGTTTGTTGAATAATTAATCTGACATGGTCTCCCTAATGGCCTGCGCAGATTCCATTATCCAAAAGCTTGGTTCCCAGTTCTATACCAATTTGACATTCTTTTCAGAAGGACTAAAGCGGCACTGGAAGTAACAATAGCCCAACCCATTTGTGTTTGCTTGAGAGATCTTATTTTACTACTGGTTGTTGGATGAGTTTATGAATTGTTTGACTTTTCCTTTCTTTTTAACAGGGAACAAAATGTCATAACTTCAGGAATCAATCAATAAATTGAAAGGCAGTGAGCAAAAGGTTGAACCTGGGCAAAGCTGGTAGAATGAACCAAAGAAAAACAGGGTAACTTTTCCTGTGTTTTTCTGCTTGATACTTTAGTAACTGTAATGGAGGTCATTTAGCTAGGGGGCTGTCTGAGTGTTGATTTCATCATTTTTGTGCATATCAAGCGTGTGCCTTTCCTTCTTTGTCATTATTGATTTGTTGGTGAACCTGTTATGCCTTGATATGTATTTCCCCTGCATCTGTTTCTGCCACACAAAAAAACCGTAGGTGGTGCTGTTCACAACAGGAAAAGATGTGGTATTACTTAATATATTCTCCCTCCGGCCTACAATATAAGATCGTTTTGCAAGCTGTTTTAGCTTGCAAAACGATCTTATATTATGGGATGGAGGGAGTAGAAATCAAATTGAACTGCAAAAACGTCTTATATTTTGATATAGAGGAGTACTATTTAGTTGCTCACGTTAGGCAAGTTTCATTATTTTTGGTTCTTCTTGAATAGTTATAACTTAAAATAGAACTTTAAAAACAGTTGGTCACCCAAGTGCATCTTTGCTTCTAAAAAGAATTAGTTAATGGAGAGTTAATATGCGTTAGCTCTTCTGCAATTGGTCATCTTCCCAGGCTGTTATGCATACTTGTTTGCCGCATAACCACCATACTGCACTTTGTTCGACACATAGAAGACATATGCAGCTGTGTTCAGTTTATTTCAAAAATTAATGCTAGTATTTAAAAAGTAGAATTAGCATATAACCACAAAGGTGTTGCTTTCCAGAGTATATATAGAAAGGAAAAGCTGAAAGGGAGTAAAGTAGAACTAATGATGATGCGATGTTCTTAATGTCATTTCTCCCTTTTGACTCTGTATTGTTGGACTGATCTGGTTGCTGTGAGGTAATATTATGTCAAAGAAGTACTAGCAGTGTTGGTTATTTTTGCTAAAGAAGAATGTGATGTTTGATTACAGGACTAAGTTGGTAAATATGCTCGCAGCTGTTTTTTTGGGCACTGGACTGGAAGTTATTACAGTAATTGCTTTGCTGGTATTAAAATGCAAGGAATCACATAAATGTGGGGAAGAAAACCTAGTGAAGTGGGATAGTAGGTTAGGTTGGTACAGAAAAAAAAAGTGGAGGCAGCCTAACAGAGCTCAGCAGCGTGTGATCATTGTAAAGTACAGCAAGTGTTTTATGGTTTGTGTTGCCTTTGTTAATAGTGTCATCCATGCTTATCGTATAGTATATGATTATAGCTTGCTAATGAATGATTAACACACGCTCAGTAGTGCCTTTTCGATAAGGCAAAATGGACTGAATGTGGGAGTCCCAGCTGCTACTGAAGATGGATGCAGGTGTTTTGTTGGTGCAAGTTGTTGGCTCATGTTGAGTTTCAAGCAGTCTGTCTGTATGTGCAAACCTCTTGCGGCCAGGTGCACACATCCTTGATCTTGAATCCTTGTACATTACATGACTTTGTCAGATGAAGGAAAAAAAAGGCACTTGCATTTCATTCCACTTTACAAAATGTCCGCTTACCACATTTCTCAAAGTTGATGTGTAGGCGAATAATTATTTTTATTTTTATTTAATATTCCCTCTTAGTGATATAAACTCTCTTATATTTCTTTACGGAGGGAGTAATAAATAGTTTTTCATTCATTTTTCTCTCTTAATTTTTTTAAGGTTTCTCTCGTAATTAATCTCTCACTTTTTTACATGGGCTCTCTCTCTCTCTCTCTCAGTGGAATGGGCTGGGATACTTGACAACAACAAGGTGCGGGCTGAGAAGAAGAAGGGCCGCGGAGCCACCAGATAGGCCCAGGCCCGTTAGAGCCCATGGAGTGGGCGCTCTGAAAACCCTAAACCCTCCCCCTTTTTATCTCCCCCCACCCAGCCGCCGTTTCCCATCCTCCTCCTTCGCTCTTCTTCTTCTCCTCCTCCTCGTCAATCAAGGTAGGATTTTGTGCTTCGATTTGTCAAGGTTTCTTTCTTGTGATTGGATTTGGTTTTGGTTTTGTGTCTCGCACATATCGAAGGCTTTCTAGGCGTCATTATCCAAAGGCCTCCTGAGCTCAATGTTTGTGCCAAATCAAATCTATTTTCTTCATATCCTCGCCCTGTGATCTCCAGCAGTGCTACCCTGGAGGCCACGCAAGGACCATGAACACATTTGTCCAATCGAACAATTCCACAAATTTTTCTCTTCTTTCCTTTGTTGATTCGTTCTTTCTTTGACAAATCTCAAGAATTTTCCTTTTGTTGGTAGATTTGATCTGACCGAGCGTATGTATGTATGTTTGATCCATTGATCCAGTAAAGAAAGCAGCAAGTAGAAATCCATGGCGGCGGCCAAGAACCCCAAGGTCTTCTTCGACATCCTCATCGGCCAGGCCAAGGCGGGGCGGGTGGTCATGGAGCTCTACGCCGACAAGGTGCCCAGGACGGCGGCCAACTTCCGGCAGCTCTGCACGGGCGAGAAGGGCCTGGGCGCCAGCGGCAAGCCGCTCCACTACAAGGGCTCGGCCTTCCACCGCATCATCCCGGGCTTCATGTGCCAGGGCGGCGACTTCACCCGCGGCAACGGCACCGGCGGCGAGTCGGTCTACGGCGCCAAGTTCGCCGACGAGAACTTCCTCCTCCGCCACACGGGCCCCGGCGTGCTCTCCATGGCCAACGCAGGGCCCGGCACCAACGGCTCCCAGTTCTTCATCTGCACCGCCAAGACGCCCTGGCTCGACGGCAAGCACGTCGTGTTCGGGCAGGTCGTGGACGGGTACGGCGTCGTGGAGAAGATGGAGGCCGTCGGGTCGTCCGGCGGCTCCACCGCCCAGCCCGTCGTCATCGAGGACTGCGGCCAGCTCCCCGACGACCACTGCTGATCTCATGATTCATTCAGCCTTGTTTTTTTTTTACTTGCTACGTACTACTGAAGCTGAGACGGTTAATATGGAGGGATCCGATGGAGGGACTAGTTTGTTTGTTTAGGTGTGTGCGTTGTGCGTGCGTGTAATTGACTGAATGAATGAATAAATTTACAGATTCAGTTTGATCAATCTCAAAAGAGTTCGAGAGATTATTTCTCTTCTAACCTGCAAAGATTCATCCATGCTCTAGCTGCCTGTAGATATTCCAATCTTTGATTGAAAAAAAAATGGAAACCAGCAGCAGCACTAGAAATTTTGTTTGACATGTTGAGTGGTTCAGGCATCAAGTTAAGTTCACATCAAATGCATGCTTACTATACTTTGTGTCACCTCTTTTTAGCTCACATTGACATGATCCAACAAAAGATTAACTGGTTCTGATTCAACATACTAAGACTAGAAGACCTAGGTAAGAACATTACACAAGGAAATACAATCAAAGTTAAACGTCGGCTTGTTCTGAATCTTCTTCAGGCTTCTTCATCATTTGTCAGAGAAACGCAGTATGATCCATTGCCTGAGATAAACTAACTCTGTCGAACCAGCATCCCTGTTTCCATGCACACCCCAAGGATGTAGCTTCTTGAGACATTGATTATGCACTAGTATAAGCCCTTTTATCACTACCGATTCTGTGATAGTTTCATTCATATGCTAGAGCTAGCTAAATCTGAATATATTTCTTTCTTTCTGCTGTTTAATTTCGCCTTGTCAGGTTCAGTCGGAGGATGAAGATGAAGAGGTCGAAGCGGGCGACCATGAAGAGGGGTTGTAGTGGAGGCAAGATGCAAGGATATGTATGTCCCTCTGCTGCTGCTTATTCTCTTTTGTGTATTCTTCTTACCCTTTTTTTTTGGGTACCGGAACTCCATAACATTGTTGTTATCATGTCCATGGTGAATTGTGTTTTCTATAAGGGCCAAAAAGGATCAGAACAGGGCATTCTGAATCTGAATTGTCCATCATAGAGCTTAGCAACCAAGTGATGCTCTTACATATGCAGTTTTAGAATCCAGAAAACGTATTGAACGATCCATGGTCTAAAAATGAACCAACAGTTCTGAATTCTGAAGCTTCATTATTGTTCAGCTAGACTAAAAATAACATCCAGCTATTAATTAATTAAGCACAGCAAAGTTCTTAGTTTACATTTAAGCAGCCTCAGCTTCATCCTCTTGACGGCTGGTTACAGTTTAGAGTTTACATACCAAATCTGGACAGTACTAAAGAGATAAATCTGGAGATCCAATTCCAATCTCACGATTTACACACATTCTATCCTGTCATGTCTAACCTGCAAGATTTATCCATGCTCTAGCTGTCGTACAATCTTTTTTTTTTGTTTTTGATTGAAAAAGAAACAAGAATTATTTCACAATTTTTTGATGAAAATGGTGAGTGGTTCAAGCATCAATTGAGTAAACATTAGTCTGTCACCTCTTTTTAGCTGCAGTTTATGTTTTGGGGGTTGAATAGTAGAATCAAGCAAATTACTTCTTGCAAGAAACAACACAATGGTTGAACATAATGGTAACATAGAAGTATTGGCAGAATCACGCAAATAGTTATTATAATCACGCTCTCTTGCAACAGACCAAGACTGCAACGAACATTCTAAGCAAACAGAAACAACATTAAATCAACTTTGTCTAAATCTTTATTCCTCATCATCACCTTTGCTTGAGAGAAACGTTGGAGGGTCCATTCAAGAAGGTGGGCACTATTCTCCCAAGGCATGCAAGCTTGGCTTAAGAGGAGTAACAGGGACAAGGCTTTCGGTGTACGAAACTAGGTCGAACCAGCATTTCTTTCTCCACGCATGGCCCAAAGGTGACTTCTCCATTGGGCTCTAGAAACTTTAGATCGTCCATATCAAATATGTCTTCGAAGGCGCCGTGAGCTTGCAAGTAGAAACGGTATTCTTGACGATTATATGCTAAAAGAACCCCGGTAGCATAGGTAACTGGACGACAAAGGCTCGAGACGTTGATCGTGTAGTGTAAGCTCCATTTCGGATCCAGGACGTCTCTTGTCATACAGACCACTACGCGTTGTAGGCACTCGACGAAGAAAGTGGCGCATAGTTCCCCGTCAAGCTCATGGAGGATAATATCTTTGTCTTGTACTTGAGGGTACAAGGTGTCAAGCAACGGAGTGAAACCAAATGTTTCGTGTTGAAGGCTGAAACGGAGTAGTGCCCGTGGGGGGCATGGATGGTTGGCCTTACTGATGAAGTAGAATAGGTAACCCTTGCAGTGTATGGCGGTTTGTGGACACGAGATGAGGGCAGGCGAATCCACCAAGGTCTCACTCCACTCGTCCTGGCCACCACTGTTAATTGTGAAGATCTCCATCCCCATGGCGACGTGGTCCTTGTCGTGGCAACCACGATAGAAAGAGCGTGCAACCTTGTATTTGCAGGTGGAAGGATCGAGGCCGAAACCAACTGGAAGGCCATTGAGATGCTCCATCTTGTTGCGGTTGCTCTTGGGCAACGCAACGTTGCATCTTGTGGCCGGGTTGAAGACGTAGAGACCAGTGTTGGTGGGGAGCAACACCAAGCCGTCACAATGGGCCATTCGGAGAGCGACCTTAAATTCGTGAGTCGGGAAGTGCCTTTCGTAAAGGAGCGCCGCAGTTGAACCGGCACTCGCAGTATAACTCCGCATCCTCCTACCGAATGAGGATCTTTGTTGTTGTTGTTGCTGCTCTTCTTGTAACGGCAAAGACCAGTGGTAGAAGCGGACGTTGATGGAGACATTAGGGGTTTGGCGATAAATATGTGGGGCGATGAGGAAGGAAGAAGGGCTGCGGCGCTGTCGGTGTTGTTGGGAGCAGTGGAGGTGGGCACGGACGAAGAGAGGGTCGGAGATGATGGCGTGCCAGGCCTTGCTCACCAGCTTGAACCTCCCGAGGGATTTCACCGGCAGCCGGATCAGGATCTCCCACACTACCTCCTCCAGCAACAACTCAGGGGAGATGATGATAGTCGGCGGCGGCGGCGGCGGCGGGGGACTGTCCCTCTTTCTCTTCCTGCTCTCACAATCGCCCATTGACGAGCAATTTCCCAAGGGCGATGCGATGGATGAATTGGAACCAACACGTACGGCCTCCCTCCCCTGCCTGTACTAGTAGTAGATTTTTGGGTTGGAATTTTTCTTCCCGGGCACGTATAGGAATCGGACACCACCCCATCCCCCGTTGTAAAATCCAAGGAGTTGTAGATAGATATCTTCTTACCGAATTTTACATGTATACAACGTGCCTACATATATCTCTTACGGGTTAGGATCCTCTGCAATACTGTACGGTGCTGTACAGTCACTGCCATGTGAGACCTGGCCCCACATGTCATCGACACTACAGCACCATACGGTATTGCAGAGGATCTCAACCCATCTCTTACATGCATGTATTTTTCTTGATTTTTTGGAAGTGGTATTTGCAAAAATAAAAATTTTAAATGAATCTGGTAGATATGTATGATTTTCTTTTTAACTAAGATACGATTACAAAATTCTAGAATGTTTACAAGTTGTTCCAATCTAAAAGGCCACTGATGGGCGCCGGTCAGCCGGCCGAAAGTTTCGGCCGGTCCTATTTACATCGTATGATTAAACTCCTTGCAACCGTCTGATGTGCGTAATCCTTTGCCCCATCATCTGCAACCAAAAAAAAAAGAACAAAGCGATCACCCCAACGCAAAAAGGAGTACCAAGGTCAACGCCCCCGATGCCCGGCCACCGCCCTTACTGCATCACGGGCTCGCCTCCATCGCTGTTGCCATTGAAGCACGCAGCTATCGCCGTTGCCGTCATAGTTGAAGCTCGCTGCCGCCGTCGCTGTCGTGGTTGAAGCTCACCGCCGTAGTTGTCCGCAGCCTTGCCGTCGCGCTGCTCGTGCTCGTCCTCGCCGGCAACCTGCGCTCGCCGCCGCGTCCTTGGCCGCCCTCGCTCAACCTCGCCCTCGTGCTCGCCGGCAACCTGCGCTCGCCGCCGCAACCTTGGCCGCCCGCGCTCGTCCTCGGCCTCGTGCTCGCCATCTCATTCTTGGCCGCCTTCGCTTACCAGCCATGGCAACTCTGGTCAAGATGGCCGCAGCACCCCATCGTCAAGCTCGCGCCGTACCACACCCTCAGTTTGCTGGTCACAAAAACAAAACAAAATCATGGGTCGTAGCAAAAATTATGCTGTTCATGGATGTAGCAGAAAAAAACGCCGGTAGTAGCAAAAAAGTACCACGGTTGCAGCAATTCGGCGTCGCCGTCGTCACGGGTCACGGCTCCGCCATGATGGATGTAGCAAATCCGTCGCCGGTTGTAGCAAAAAATGGCGATGGTTGCAGCAAAAAACATGGCCGCTTCCAGCAAAGTTCCAGCAAAGTTTTTTGTCAACGGTTGCAGCACTAGCTAGCCCCTAGCTTTAGGGCCATCTTCTGTTGAAGGTTTTTCGTGGGCAGTTGTAGCTTTCTCATATGGCGCTTGCAGCTTTTGGTTGCACAGAACTGGTTGTAGCATCCAACGCAGCAAAAAGCAAAGCCGATTCAAGCAAAACTTACCATGGGTTCTAGCAAAAAATCTCTACGGTTGTAGCATCGATGGGTAGCAGTTTGAGGTGTGTGGGGGAGGGGATGCTGCAGCAGGGGAGGAGGCGCTCACAAAAAGGAGCCGGAGGTCACGCCTTCGGTGCTGGCAAGCTCACTACGCGTAAGGCGAGAGAAAGAAGCTATAGGGCGAGAGGAAGAAGAAGCATAGAAAAAAACGTGGTAAGAAAGAGATAAGGAAAGCCACGTCTCGTTTTTTTTTAACATCAGTACAGACACAAGCGCTCATATACACGCGCATACACTCATCCCTATGAACGCACACACGCACATCCTACCCCTATGAGGACCTCCGAAAGACTGAGCCGGCATATCATCTTGAAATTTACGAAGTCACCGTAGGCACCTCGTCGTCGACGGGAACGTCTCCTCCCACTGAATGCGCATTGCCGGAAATCCTGAAATAAATCCAGGAATAAATGCGAGCACCACGATTTGAACCCTGGTGGGCTGAGGATACCACAGTCCCTCTAACCATCCAACCACAGGTTGGTTCACAAGCCACGTCTCGTTTGAGGCCCAC